TCTCAGACGGCTCCCAATCTCAGCTGCCACGGCAGAGCCCGAGACCTCGTCTTCCCTTTCCACCTCCCTTTCGCTCTCCCGGCTCCGCAGCAGCCGAGGTTCTGCGAACAGCCAATGGCCCGCCGCCCCGCCTCCGGTGACGTTGGTGGGGAACTGGGCACTGCAGGCTGCAGGGCTCCAGCTGCTGGACACAGCTGCCTGTCTGCCCGTCTGCCCGTCTGCCCGGCGCAGGAGTCCAGTGGCCCAGAGCCTATCAAGTTCCACCTCTGACTTGCACATCACTGCCTGCATTTGACAGTTCGGTTCATTCTTGTTTTGCTGAAATTCTGTTTAACAGTTCACCATTTACTAAGACTTTGAAACACGGGGCAATTTTTTTTTTTTTTGGAATGTAAAGGGATCAAATCTAAACATCCAATGTTATTGTTTTATAACTAGAAAAATACCACAATTCTGACTTGGTCTGTTTTGTCACTCTTTTTGTTCCCTCCCTTACTCAGTACATGTGGCTTTGTCCATACACCTGCCAGGCTCTGTTAGTTTAAAACTCACGGCTTTTTAAAAAGTATATATTTTTTCACTCCTAAATACATTCCAACATCCTGTAGGGTCTCTCAAAACTTCTGAGAAACTAAGTGCTTTGAGAAAGGGAACCGGCAGTTAGTGAAGGCACAGCCAATGGTGACAATAATTCAGGCCCAAACTTAATCATCACTGGCTGCCAATTGTTTTATACCACTGAAAAAAAATAAAACAAGGAGCAAAAACTTCCACAACGCTCCTGTTTTGTACCTCTATCTTCCAGTTTCTCAAATATGTAGTGAGAGTGAAGAAAATTAAGTGATGGTACAAATGTTTCACTGTGAATGAAGGGCCCATCGAGACAGACACATGGAGCTCACTTGCAAACTCCTCCAGACCAGGCTGGAGAGGCCAAACAAGTTTCTTCACCCAGTGAGAAGGTGCCTCTCCCAGACAGGGAGAGACAAGTTCTGGGTGTGTCTTCCTGTGATGGCCAATTCAGGAAACCTTTGCAGGTAAAGGCAAAACTTGAGAGTTTAGTAAACTCAGGGAATAAATTCAGCCTAAGAGAGCAGACTGTCATTTTATGTGGCCTCTGAAATTCCTGGCCCCGGTAGTACTTTTGGCAGTCATGTGACTGTCCCTAACCTGATATAAAATAAAACAAATTTCCTATCAAGCCAATCTTCTTGAGGAGGTTTACAATTTAAGTGGGCCTCCCACAGTTTCCCCAATCAGCACTGATGCTGTCATCCCAGTTGGAGGGTCTTCCTGGGAGGATACACACCAGGAAAATTCAGACAGGGGACTGGTATTTGTAGCCTGTATGGGTTGCTTAAATCAGTGGTTTTAACTTTCTACACATCAGAGTCAACAGGGAAGTTTGATGTCAAGGCCCCACCCAGAGCAATTAAATTGGAATCTCTGGGGGTGGGGCTCTGGCAATTTTTTTAAACTCACAAGCGATTCCAATCTGTAGCAAGCAAGAATCACTGGCTAAGATTTAAATTACTGCCTTAGAGGAACATCTACATTGTATTTAAAAATATATATAAAAAAATGCAGTAGGGGAATAACGTGAAACATTTTGAAATACAACTTATCCTTATATATATTCTTTATATATTTGTATATTTTAATATAAATGTAGAAAATATCTGGTAATACATTAAAATTGTTTACTCAGTGAGGGAGGCTAGAAGAGTGAGGGGCTATTACTAGCTTTCTATTTGTGTCTGTATCATTTGAACAAAAGGAGTATGCATCCCATTTATGATTTAAATATATTTAGTCAAATTTTTAAAATACTTATGAATGTCATTGCAAATAACCACCATTGAAGTGGGATTCAGTTTGTTCTTTTGCAAATATTCCTCTAATATCTAACTTTTCTGAAAGGTTATTTTCATTTTGTAAAAAAAAATCGCAAAATCTTTGATTAATCCATACAGTCATTGCCAAACTTAAAGTATGTTTACTTTCTTGTAATTTCAGAAATGTATTCAATTTTTATGTAACTGTCTCCTAATTAAGTTTAAAAAAAATAATATTCAAAGTATATCATATAGATGTAAAGAAACTTCATCTTTTCCAACTGAAAATTTGTTTGTAATTAGTATTCAACACTAATAGCTTCATAACTGTCAGGACACATGGTATAAGTAGCCAGGTACCTAGGTTTGATCTGGCTTTAAATCTGAGCTCTGCGAATTTTTAGATATATAATCTTTGGTATCATCTCTAGCCCTATAGGTAAAATGAATCCAATAATATCTGCCTCAGTGTTATTAAGATTACATCAAGCCATGCAGCTAAAGTGCTTATGGCTGTAAAGCAAATAATAGTGCTTAATATGTGATAGTTATCAATTCACTGACTTCTATTTTTTCCTCTCTTGTCTTAAACATACGCGAAGATAATTAGCATAGCAGCAGAATTTATCAAAAACTACTTTTATAAAACAGTAAGCATGATTCTTCCTATGACCAATGATATTTCTTATCCAGTTATATGTGAAAGGGAAATATATTCTTTTTTTCAGGCCACTGCTTTAACATGTAACACGTAAGACAATTGCTTGTTTGCCTCAAAATATTTTACATCTACCCAGTGTTTCCAAAAGTGACACAAAAGCTGATTTTTCATGATTCATAATCAAACACCTTTTTTCTCTGTACTTATTAACAGAATGTGACTCAAGCACAGCTGATATTTCCCAGGATGAGCTTTCTGACTAACTTTTGGACCAAAAAAGAGAGGTCAACACCTCAAGCGATAAGGGCTTATTACTCGTAGATGAGGCCTGATTTTAATAACATCATCACTTTATTCTCTCTCTTTCTTCTTTCCTTAATATTTACTGAGCACTAATAAAACATTTGTATGTTAGGCACTCTTCTAAGCAGTTTATGATGAGACAGGGGGGATTGTAACGGTGGCACTGAATCTTCTATTTAGAGATTTGGATCTCTGGTTTAATTCGAATTAACAAGTGTGTTATTAATTTAGCTTGGGACTTTTTGAAAGCTTCCTTTTCTTTATTCTGCTTCCTGTACATTTACCATGCATGCCAGTGTCAATGTTTCTATTTACTTAGGTCCAGTGCTGGCCCTGTGGCTTGTGAGAGGTTCTGCATCTCTAGGAGATCCACTCCTAGTTCCAACTTAAATACATAACATATGCAAAGATTGTGATGACCAGCTTAACTGCACCTTCCCCCTTCTTCCCCACCACAACAGACAAAGCCCAAACTCAATAGAAAATTCCACTACAAGCCAAAGCAATTTACATCCTGGTTAGAAAATACCCGCGGTGCCAAAAAAAGGTATACAAGTGGATACTTTGGTCAACGTTGCTCAAGCAGTAGTTCACCATAATCATAAGTATCTGGTCACTGATGGTAAACACTTCGAACACCTCTTGTAGTTGCAGAAGTCAAACGTGACTTGTAGTCATCTTTTGCTATCGGTATATATTGAGTATTACACTTCTAAGTTTTCTTCCTTTCTTAAAAAGTGTACACATTTTTTTGGTACCCTCTGTATAAAGCTTGAGATCAGACACTCGATGCAGTAGTTTGCAGCAGACTCTGCCCAGCTGACCCTTCTGTTACTTTAATAAATCTTCCTTCTATATTTCTGACTCGTGAATTCCTTCACGACCTGCAAGCAAGCAGCCACAACAGTTTACATCTATTACCTCATTTAATCCTCTTACTAGCCCTGCGTTCAGTGTTTATTTACAAATGAGAAATTTGGCATGCAGAGATAAAGAAACCTACCTAAGATGGCACAGCTTATAGGTGACAGACCTGAGGACCCACATTCTATTGTGGACTATTCAGCATAACTTTCAATGAATTAGGAAGGTGAGTATTAAGTGACTTTTATTGGGGTAAGGTAAAACGATGCTATGACTACAACTGTCTTGTTGAGAGTAGAAATTCTATATATTTTTTAGAAGCAACAAGAATATATCAACATCATTATTACCAGTTGTAAACTTGGCCTTAATTTTATGTGTGTGCATCTCTTAAAAAGAAGAATTACATTTCCTTTCTTTTAAATCAACTGATTCACTTTCTTTCATATGGAAGAAGTTTGCTTTTTAATCTTATAAAAACCCTTGAAATGCAGTGATTACACAGAATATCAGAAAGGGAAGCTCTATAATGGCAGAGATTCGAACTGATCTCAGAGCTCTAGATATGTGTGCATCAACCCCTTCTTGGTCTTGTTTGTAATATGATGAAAAACGTTAATAAGACAGGGGCTTTGAAAAAGTGAGAAGACAGGCTCTACCTCAAGAGATGGGACCCAGCCTCTAAGGAATGACATATAATCTTGGGCTAGATGTGGAACAGGACCAATGACCAATTCCAAGTGCAGGTATTGAAGCAGGAGCCCAGCTGGGACCCCTGTAATATGAGACCTGCGGCTTGAGCTGAGAATGCCTCCAGGATGCCCTGCCCCCATGCCGACTGGCTTCACTTTTCCTTATCCTGTGTGGGTCTATTGGCTGAGCAGATCAGGCAGCATGAGCTCTGGATTCGGTTGCCCTCTGGTTTCAGTATGGCCAAGAGACTTTAAGAAAGTGATGTCTAATATTCGCTTTTAAGCTTTCTTTTTCTGTGGTGCTGCATGTCTTACAAATCAGAGCTCTCTAAACAACAGGCTATGGGTGTTCTGCAAGATAACAATATCTCGGCCCCTGGGGCTGCTGCATTGAAGCTTATCACCCACAAGGAACCCATGGAGCTGATGAGGGGGTCTGTGTTCCAGGTTTCCAAAGAACACATTGACTGGCCTGAGAGAATGTCTGTTGGGCCTTGGTGAGGAGGCTAAGCAAGCACAGTCCCAGGTCTGGTCCTAGTTCTCCCTTTTCACACATCTTGGATACTTCTCTCCATTTCCGGCTGTGGGGGACTGTTACCCTGCAAAAGGTCAGGCTGCT